GGGTGGTGTTACACTATGAAAAATCTGCCCCCATGATACAATCACCTCCCACCAGGTCCTACCTTCAGCACTGGGGATTAGAATTCAACATGAGATTTGGGCAGAGACAAATATCTAAACTAAATCAATGTGTCCATGAATTTATCTGTTTTATCTATGCTTGATTCTTTGTATTTCTGTGCTCTCAGTTGTTATGTCTCTTTTTTCATTTTTGATTTTATTAATTTGGATCTTTTTTTCTTAGTCTAGCTAAAGTTTTGTTGTTTTTGTTTATCTTTTCAAAAACCTGATTTCTCATTTTATTGATTGCATTTTTTTAGTCTCAAATTAATTGATTTCTGCTTGGTTTTTATTATTTCTTTTCTTCTACTAATTTTGGCTTAGGTTTGTTCTTGCTTTTCTAGTTCCTTGAGCTGCATTATTAGGTTGTTTATTTAAAGCCTCTATTTTTTTGATATAGTCATTTGTTGCTATAAATTTCCCTCTTAGTACTGCTTTTGTGTATCCCATACATTTTGGTATGTTGTATTTTATTTTTACTGGTTTTATTTGTTTAAAGACATTTCAAATTTTTAAAAAATTTCTTCATTTACCCTCTGGTTCTTCAGGAGCATAATGTTTAATTTCCATGTGTTGGAGTAGTTTCTGAGGCTTTATTTGTTATAGATAACTAGTTTTATTCCATTGTGGTCAGAGAAAGTATGTCATGTGATTTTTATATTTATGAATTTGTTCAGATTTGCTTTGTGGCCAAAGATATGTTTTATGTGCTGATGAAAAAAATGTGTATTCTGCAGCAGTTGGGTAAAATGTTCTGTAAGTGTCAATTAGGCCTATTGAATCTAGTGGTTAGTCAAATTCTGATGTTTCTTTGTTGATTTTCTGTCTGGGTGATCCGTCCATTACTGAGAATGGGGTGTTATTGTTGCCTAATATTATTGAATTGCAATCTGTCTCTTTATTTAAATCTATTAATGTCTGTTTTATATACTTGAGAATGCCTCTATTTGATGCATAGATGTTTATAATTGTTATACTCTCTTATTAAATTGACCACTTTATAGTAACCTTCTTTGTCTCATTTTATAGTCTTTGATTTGATTTGTAGTCTATTTTATCTGATATACATAGACCTACTCCTGCTCTTTTTTGTTTCTGTTTGCATGAAATAGCTTTTTCCATTCCTTCACTTTCAGTCTGTGTCTATATAGGTGAAGTGAGCTTATTATAGGCAGCATATAGTCAAATATTTTTCTTTATTCTTTCAGCCACTCTGTGCCTTTTAATTGGAGAATTGAATCCAGTTACTTTTTTGCTTTATTTCTTGTGGATTCATAACCTCTGTCTTCATTTCTTCCTTACTGTCTTTCTTTGTGGTTAAGTTACTTTTTCTTGGTATAATTTTTTAAATTATCTCTTTCCATTAGAGGTTTTTGCTTTGTGATTACCATGAGGCTTGCAAAAAATATCTTATAGATAATAGCATGTTATTTTAGAGATGACAACTTACCTTAGATCACAATGAAAAGAATAAAAACAAAAACAAAATTCTATATTTTAATTCCATCTTCCCTACACTTTAGTTTTCTCAATTTACATATTTTTATATTGCCTATTTATTAATAGATTGCTGTAGATAATATAGTTTTTGATAGTTTTGCTTTGGGCTTCATAATAGAGTTATGAATAGGTTTCATACCACAATTCCAGTATCAGAGTATTCTGGTTTTGTCCATGTACTTAATTTGACCAGTGGGTGTTATACCTTTAATTTTTTCTGTGTGCACATTAGTGTGTTTTTCTTTCAGAATGATTAACTCTCTGTAGCATTTGTTATAAGATGGGTCTGGTGGTACCGAATTCTTTCAGCTTTCATTTGCCTGGAAAAGACCTTAATCTTTTTTGTAGTTGAAGGATAACTTTTTTGGATATAATATTCTTGGATGGCAGTTTTTTATTTTTAGGTATTTTGAAAATGTTATTCCTCTCCATTCTGTCCTGTGTGTTTTCTACTGAGAAGTCAGTTGCCTGGCAAATTGGAACTCCTTTATACGTTATTTATTTATTTTCTCTTATTGCTCATCGGATTCTCTCTTTGTCCTTGACCTTTGAGAGTTGATTTATTTGGCTTGAATTTATTTGGTGTTATTTGACCTTTCTGTACCTGGATATTTATATTTTTTCTCTTTATCAAATTTTGGAAAATTTTCTATTATTGCTTCTTTAGATAAGATTTCTAGGCTTTGCTTTCGTTCAGTTCTCTCTTAGACACCAATAATACTTAAATTTTTTTTCTTCTGAGGTAATTTTTATTATCTTGTCAGTGGTCTACAACCTTTTAATTATTTTTTCATTTTTATTCTTCACATATTTTTCAAATAGTCTGTCTTTGAGCTTACCAATTCCATCCTCTGCTTGATCTGTTATGGTTTTGAGAACCTCTAATAAATTTTTCATTTAAGCAAATGTGTTTCTTAGTCCTAAGATTCATGTTTGAATTTTTAAAATTATATCAATCTTGTAGTTAAATTTCTCTGATAAACTTTCAAGTTGCCTTTGTGTCTTATCCTGGAGATCGCTGAATTTCTTTAACATAGCTCTTTTGGATTTTTGGTCACAGAGCTCACGTATCACCAACTCATTAGGGTCAGTTACTGGTTTCTTGCTATGTCTGTTTAGGGAGGTCATAGTTCTCTATTTACTATTGCATTTTTTGGATTTATGTCTGTATCTTTTTACTGGAAGGTGAATTATTTATTTCAGTCTTTCCTATTTGGCTGTTTTGGTTTTTACTGGATATATTTCCTTAGAGAGTCTTTACCCCTATCTGCTGCCTCCTTTTAAGCTTAAGTGTTGATTTAATCCCAGGTTATCCTCAGATCTAGTAAACAATGAAAGCACTGTTTGTTCCAAATGGGGAGGTTCCCAAAGCGGGGTATCCCAGTGGCTTGAAAAGGCTGACTAGGTGTTTGTGCACCAGGAACCTGTGGGAATTTACCTCCTACAGCACAGTGCTGCTAAATGGCCACTGTAATTTGACATCTCCTTTGGCTGAGTTATAAGGCAGAATTTTAAAGACTGGGGATGGCAGTTTTACCACTTCTTTTTGTCTCTGGCCATCCTCAAAGATATATCTCCATTTAAGCACTTGTGATGCTTCCTGTGGGTTCAGACAAGGACGAGTTTTTGCCATGGAACCCGAGGTGTTGAGGAAGCTAGTTGTCCACCTCAATCTCACTTTTTCTACAGTGGAAAGCATGAGTCAGGGAAAAATTTTTGCACACTTGGTGCCGAGCAGATTGGGAGACAGATGTCATGAATATGGAAGTCTGGTTCTCTTATTGTATACTTGAAGTTTTTTCACTTCTCTGTGATCCTGAGAACTGTCTCTTCATCATATTTGAGTTCTGGGATATTGCTGGTGACAATCTTGGCACTCTATATTTGTTTTTTTTTTTTATTTTCTAGAGGGTGGGAGGAATGAAGTCAGCTTGTTTCTACACTGCCATTTGGGAACCAGCAGTCTATTCACTTTTACAACAATGAACCATAACCATTGTATTGTGACTAAATATGTATATGTATATGTGTATAAACACGTTTTATGAGTCACAGTGCCTCCAGTTCCAGAAACTTAACTCTGTTAGTTTGGGTTTATTTTGTTTTTAATGGACCTTAGAAAACATTTACAAAATAAAATTTATTTTATAACATAAAAGAAAAGCCATATGTAAAAGATAAGTAAAGTAGGCATTAAAAGGCAAGATACTGTAGTATTTAAATGTCAGTAATTTTTAATTAAGAATCTTATTTATTCTGCAAATACTTAATAATTCTTTGGTGTAATTAATCATGCAACTTTGTGCAAAATGTTTTATGACTTATAGCCAGAATGCATACTTCAAATTTCACATGAAAACTGGCCGGGCATGGTGGCTCACGCCTATAATCCCAGCACTTTGGGAGGCCGAGGTAGTTGGATCACTTGAGATCAGAAATTCAAGACCAGCCTGGCCAACATGGTGAAAACCCATCTCTACTAAAAATACAAAAAATAAATTAGCCAAGTGTGGTGGTGGGCACCTGTAATCCTAGCTACCGGGAGACTGGGGCAGGAGAATCACCTGAAGCTGGCAGGTGGAGGTTATAGTGAGCTGAGATTTCACCACTGTACTCCAGCCTGGGTGACAGAACAAGACTCCTTCTCTAAAAATAAAATAAAATAAAATAGTAAATAGATACATAAATTTCATATGAAAACAAACATAGAAAAGTAAATATGTTTTTTCAAAATATACAAAAGTAACATCAATTATCTATTTATTGTGAGATATTTTGATAGTAGAAAAAGAAAACTCTTCTATGCTATATTAGGTAGTTTAACATTTTATTTTGAAAATATAATGTCACAAATAAAGACTTAATAACATTTTTAAATGCATTGCATCATGCCTCTCAACATAGCACTTGTAGAGATCAGTAAGTGGCTTACAAATTCTCGTGTATAATGCAATTGTAGTGTTCATTCTATCAGTTCCAGCTTCTTTTTATGATCCATAATGTAATAATATGAAAAAGCTAGGTTACCATCTCCCAAAGTGTGTTCCTGGGAGTACACATCACAAGTGTTATCAGAAAAGGAGATTCTATAAATAATGTTAATTACTGGGAACTTCCAATATATAAAAATTGTGCATTGTAAGTTTTCTAGCATATGACACAGTTTCTAGCTTGCTAAAATTATTTTGCAGTGGAATCTCTATTTTTTAGAAAACATATTTAACAATGCATACTTTAGGAAGACTGAACTAGAGAGTAAGTTAAATCCACTTCTGAAATATTAGTATTACTCGTCTTTAACTTTTTTTGGAGTTTTCACTAGTAGCAATGCTTTTACTAAGCATAGCATAGCTAAAGCCATCTTTTCTGTCTCCTTAGGTCACACTGTTACTTCATTTACTACTAATAACACTAACCAGCACTGAAGCATTGTTGATTCAAAACTGAAGAAATTAACTGATGATTCACTCTTTAGGTAACAGAACCTACCTGTACAAATAGCTTTACTGGATGGTGTGATGGCTCCATGAAATAGTATCCTGCAGGTGAGTGAGAAAGGAAGAGCAAGCATGCCTGTAGCTGATGGATGACTAAACCAAGAGTCTAATCGAGAGAAATAATTAAGTCTGCTTTTGCTTCTGGGGAGAGAGAGACAACTAAATCTGTCATGGGGTTTCAAAAACTACAAGGCAAGCATTGTCAAGAAAAAAGCAAAGCAGGTTATGAAATTTCAGCTTTTGACTTTAGATGCTGAATTGCTAATAATATGTAGGACTGAGTATATGTTATGCATATTTAATTTTTTTAAAAAAACCATGTGATTATAGCTACTGAGTTTCATTAGAAACATTTATTTCATGTTTTAAAAAATTATCCAGGTACTTCAATAAGCTGATTGATTATCCTCATCCCTTGGAAAAGTTTCCTCAAAGTTACCCCATATATTGTAAAATATTACAGCTTTAAATATTATTCTTTGGTACAGACTGATTAGGCAAGTCAGACTTCATAGTGATGATTTCCCGAAACATTTAGTGTCCACTGACCCAGTTTTCTTCATCTGTGAATGAGGATGCTGGGGAGGAAAAAGGAGAGGAATAAAACACAAACAAGGAGAGATTCTTAGGTAATTATTAGCCAGACTCTGCTGTGGCAGAGTCAAAGATAAAAATCACATGGTTCTTGCCCTCAAGGGACTTTCAATAAAGTAGGTGGAATCAAATACGACACAAAAGTAAGAATAGCATGCTATGAAAATCCAGAGAGAGGAATGATTGCGTACATGGGTGCTACTTGGAAGGGCTTTCTATAGGTATGATATAAATGACATGAAATTTGAATGATTGAAGGAGAAAAAGTTTAGACTAAACAAAATATCTTAGTTTGGGTTGCTATAACAAAGCGCCATAGACTGGGTGGCTTATAAACAGCAGAAATTTATTTCTTACAGTTATGGGGACTGAGAAGTCTAAGATAAAGGTGCCTGATCAGGGCTGCTTCCTGGTTCATAGAGAGCTGTCTTCTTGCTGTGTCCTCCACAACAGAGAGGGCAAAGGACCTCTGCTATACTTTTTTTTTTTTTTTATAACGGCACTAATATGATTCATGAGGGCTGTCCTCATGACCTATTCACCTCCCAATGGCCCCACCCACCCTCTGATTCCATTGCCTTGGGGTTTAGGATTTCAACATATGAGTTTTGAGGGACACAAACCATATCACAACCCATAGAACAAGACACTAGTAATGTTGTCTTTCTCCTCATTTAGCTTGAGACTAAAGTAGCCTATGATTTGACGGTAAATTTCTCCAACTTTTGCCTTCTACCCTACACTGAAGGTATTTATTATTTTCTAGCCTAGACTGCTATCCCATCTGTCTCTACAAGGATTTTCTATTTCTGCTTAACCTATTCAGATTGACAATATTCCACTAAGCTTTTGGTGGCCTCACATCTCATGATGTTGCTTCTTGTATGGTATTGCCTGTACTTCCACTCTACTTTGCCTCTGCTTCTAAACATCTGGGACACTACTGCTTGCCTGGGAAGTCTAATTAGACAGGTGGTCATGGACTTGAGCAATAAAAAAATACCAGGAAAAGAGAGCTGTCTTCTAGGGAGAACTACTGTTGCATCTGGCCAAAAATCATGGCAAAGAAAAGGGACTAATGGTGTGAAATAAGGTCTGGAGGACAGATGGGAGCCCTCTCATGAAATTCTTGAATGTTTGTTTAGCTAAAATGTCAGAATTTTTTTGTAAGAAATGGGAGCATATTTAATATATTTTATCAAGGAAGTAATGTGCTCTAGATGTTTTTTATTATGAAGGTTAATTTGGTGGTGTGGATTGGCAACAGAACAGGCTCATGCAATAGTTAATAGAAGTTGATCTAGAGTCATAAAATTAGAAATAAGACAATTTTGGAGGTAAATCCATAGGATATTATGATAAATTAAAAATGATTCTGAGGAAGAAGCAGCACTTATGTAATTCCTAAAAACTGTTGGATAATAACAGGAGTAATTGAGACCCAGCAGATAAAACTATTAAAGAGATACAGGGAAGTTGACGTGAAGGACATGGTTTAATGCCCATAAGAGGTGATGTGAAGTGGTAAGAAATAGGCTAAATTTGGAAAGAGAAGCTGAGGTTTGTGTCTCACCTTGGACAAATTGGAACTTTTGTGAATCTAATTTGTCTCAGATAATACCTCTCTTGCAGACTGGTTAAATGAATAATATGAAACAGTTATGGAAGTTCCTTCACATAGTTGGTGCTTTACAAAATTCTGCCTGAAGTTCAATCTCTGGGTGGGAAGGGGCCTTTTAATTCCGGTTCAGCTAGATCAGGTACCCTTCCTATGCTTAAATATGTTCCCCAGCTTCTGTACTGTGGCCATTCTGCTCACACATGGACTCCTCCAGAGACAGAGAGCTTCACACCTTGCCGTTTAACTCATTTTGCCCTCAGACAGTCTTGTATGCAAACAGTTTTGTACATGATGTGAAATGTCTTCATAAAGACAGTTTAGGAAGTGTCGATTCTCAAACCTTACTGTGCATGAGCACTGCTCCAGCAACTTAAGGTCCCAGTGAGATTTGTGCTGCGTTCATCTGTGGAACTGCACAGGAATTTGTATTTTAAAGAGTTTTCTAAGTGATTCTGATGATGAAGTTCTTAGATAAACATTATCCCAGAACTTCCCCCAAATGTCCTATTTTGGCCTCCAAATGTTATATAGAATAAACTTATAATGATTCAAGAAAATTGCTAGTCAGTCTCCAGCGACTTTCTTTTCCAAGTATAGTGTGAAATTATATGTAAAAGTACTTTGGAAAAACAAAAGAAGCACATAAAATTACTTAAAATATTATCATGAGGTGGAAGAATATTTTAGTGAATGTATAAATTGCAATTCTTATCATCACAGTCAATATTTATTAATGGTTTCTATATGCCACCTGTATTGCATACCTTATTCTGCCTAACGTTCATATCTCATTATTTTACCATTATACAGTTGAGAGTTAGAAAAGTTATCTTTCCCAAGGTCACAAAATGGCATGGCCAAATTTTAAACACTACATTTCATTGCCTTATTTAAAAACCAATGAGATTTTTTTTTTCTTTTGTAGCCAAGACCATCCTCAAGGAGGTTAATGAATGTGGCACCACAGGAAAAATATGCATCAACATTGAAAAGTAAGATGAATTATTTTACCTGGTAGTATTTTTTTTGTTAATTATACTTTATTTGTTTACATTAATATCCTTATGTTGTCAGAGGTGCATTAAGACAATAACAGTTTTGCTCCGAAGAAAAAGTCATTGGTGCTTTCTCCTGGAATATTTTCCTATGACCTTAGTTCTCTAGAGAAGCTTGTGTGGTGAGCCTGTAGTAATGAGATTTGAGAGGTAATGGGAATGGAATGTGAAACAAGGGAAGAGTAGGGTACCGAAGATTCATAATCTGAAAATTTTGCTTTGAACTAGCTGGGACCAGAGTATCTACACATAAGGTCACACCAATTAATTCTGAATTTACCAAGAGTTGTTTTACATACTGCAAAGTTTAGAATAATAATATATATATATATAAATAATTTTATTTTTACAATGGTATGCTTCTTTTCAAGTGTCTGCTTTTTAGAGACTTGAGTCAATAACAAATTAGAAAAAGTGACCTGACTTCTAATTTTTCAATTCTGAAATATTCCTATTGTGATGATTATTTTTATGGGGTAAAAGGGAACTGAGATCTAACCTTCTCAATCCTAGATAGATTTTAAAATCATTTGAAGAAATTCAATAATTATTCATGCTAAGATTTTACTGAAAACCAGTTATAATCAGAATTCCCAGATGATTTTAGTGTGTAAAGATGGGGTTGAGAACTACAACGTAACTCCATGTTTGGAGTCAAGCACAAAATTGGATCCAAAACTGGATCCTCCACACTTATTTATGAAAAACAAGAACAACAACAAAACAAAACTGAGCTATCAATAACTGTAATCATTAATAGAAGTACTGGCTATTGAGGGTAAACTGAACACTTTATTTGGGTCCACATAATAAATTTATAAGATTTATGTGATGAGGAAACTATTTTTAGGTAGAAATGTGAATGCTTCTCAGAGAAAGAAATGGTGCTCAGACAACTCTTGAGAATCTGAGGACAAAATTATCACTGAAACTTCACCTGGTAAAATCTAACTTTTTAATATCTTCATAGTAATGAATTAGAGTTTATTTTAAACCTGATTCTTAAAAAGTTACAATTTTATTTATTGTTATAATTTTATGGAAGTTCTGTTTCTCACTATAAACTGTGTAAATTTTCTTGAGGAACTAGATTGTGGATATTTTTATCAAAATAAGTTAGCGTGGTTATTGCCCTGAGTCAGTTTCATGACCAAAGAAAGTTGGAAAATTGAAGAAAAAATAGAAAAGCTACATTATGTATTTGATTGATTCCTTCAGTTCACATTTGTGGGGGTTATTTTTGTTTATTTTTTTTTTGGCTTGTGAAGTTCTGGTCACAACATATTACTTAGCTTTACTGAAAATGAGAGTATTTTGGTTATGCCAAAATCAAAATGGATTCTTCTACACATGATAGACTGCTTGTGGAAGTTGCTTTCAAGTCTTAGTTGAATGTTGAAACTTTAAAAAATATCTCACCAAGGTTTGCTTGAGTTAAACTTATGTGTACTAGCTCTTAGGCAACTGTTCACGTTGTGAACACATCCTAACTATCTCAGCATGCCAGTGGTACATCATAATGGCCACTGTAAAGTCACACAGCCTGGAATTATTTTGATAATGGGGAGCGGTTCCCAAGGAGTACCTGTGATTGACTCCCACAAAGCTAAGAACCGTCTCCACTGCTGAGAGCATTTGCTATGATGCACTCTTTAAGTGGTCACAAAAGGACGCTATGGGACTGAAAGGGTGTTTAGATTCTCTCTTGCCAAGAGCCATTTCTAGTTTCAGTGTCATTATGAAGACCCTTAATGCTCCCAGTCTTTTCCTCACATACATCCTTACTTTTGTTATCTACTTTTACCTCATTTATTGTCAAGGAAAATTGGTTTGGTACCATTTGATTTCCTAATTGTTAAACTTTGTTCCCATTTTTGTCATAGATTACCTCCTCCTCTTCCTCCCTTTCTCCTTTGCTTTTCCTTTTCTCCTTCTTTCCTTTCTTCCTTCTTTCTTTTTTCTCTTCCTCCCTCCAATTGCTGGTAGTAATTAGAATATGACTTAGTCTAGGAGTATCTATTGAATGCTTTAAGTCTACAGTACTGACACTTCCCAGTTGTTAGGTTTGTTTTGAAGGGCATAAATTGAGCTATTAGTTCAGAGTGTCTGAGCTTCTTTCCTTTTTTTTTCTGGTGCTTTTATCTAGCTTCTGACTTTTATATCCTTTTGCATCATTTTGCAAGGTTTTTATAAAGTCATCCCTTTGTGAAAATGTACTGCTTTGTTGAGTGTCGTGGAATTTTTATTGATTTGTGGTTCCTTCATCTTGGAACAAATCCTCAGTTACCTCAGATGATATATGTTTTGTGTTAGCATTCCTTTTATTATTTGCTATGTATGTTCTCTTTGACATTTTGATTTTTCATTTTTCAAGCAAAGGTTTTATCTTGAGTTCTCTGTGTAGTTTCCAATACTTTATGTTGGAATACTTTTCACTGAGGTTAAATTTTTTTTAAATAAAATTATTAATAGCCCTATGGCTCTTTCCTTAATTGGTACTATTGGGTAGAGTTTACAAAGCTTGTGACAGCTGGCTGTGTTTCTCTTTATATGGCTAATGATCTGGATTTGTCCCTTTTTTTTTATTTTTTGGGGTGTGTGTATGTGTGTGTGTGTGTGTGTGTGTGTGTGTGTGTGTGTGTTGAGATGGAGTCTCACTCTGTCACCCAGGCTGGAGTGCAGTGATGTGATCTCGTCTCACTGCAACCTCTGCTTCCTAGGTTCAAGTGATTCTTGTGCCTCAGCTTTCTGAGTAGCTGGGATTACAGATGCCCACCATCACACCTGGCTAATTTTCATATTTTTAGTAGAGACGGGGTTTCATCATTTTGGCCAAGCTGGTCTCTTAACTCCTGACCTCAAGTGATCCTCCCGCCTCGGCCTCCCAAAGTGCTGGGATTACAGGCGTGAGCCACTGCTCCCGGTCTGGATTTGTCCCTTTCTCTGATACTGCATCTTGACGCCTAAGTTGTTATGTAAGTCAAATGCCTTTTCTACATATTTCACAAGTTTGTTTTGAATCGTAAATGGTACATTATATGATAACTCTTTGTTGACTCTAAAGCACTTTGGAAAAGTGAAAGATTGCTATTACCTGAAGAAAATACACAAAGATGTATTTTACAAATCTTAAATTTAAGCTTTTACAAATATCAAAAAATATAGTGAAATTATAGTGTTTTGTGCAACAAAAAAAAAAAGAGAGAAAAAGATATATAAAAACTCAGAAAAATGAAAAAAGGTGAATAGTACTTTCTGAGAAAATGTCTAGAAATGGATTTGGATGTGATTCAGTTATAGTCTGTGATGACAAAATTCATGATAAGAAGCAGAGAAGAAATTTATGTGTTATTTTAAAGAATATTTCCTAACTAGAGAGAGATTATAGAAGAGATGAAGATAGCTGGAGCAGATATAGAGGAACTGGTAACAAAGTGATGACACATCTAAATGCACACATCCAGGAAAGTAAACAAGCTTTAGTCTAAGAGGAAAGCTTTCTTTTGAATTCTAATTTCATCTGGTTGAAGGCATACACCTAGCACATATGTAGACATTATTTAAAACTAAATGGTAATTTATTATGAACAGTAATTTCCTATTACTTAGGCATTACCTTCTGCAGAACTGTGTTTGGGCAAGCTGGTGAATGAGGAAAAGGCATGTGGGTAGGCTATCTCATGTTACTCTGTAAAGAGAGCATATTAGATGTAGTAGAAAAATACTAACATTAAAATTAAAAAGTTGGGTTTAAAGCCTAGCTTGTTCACTTTAACAATGAGGAATATTGACACAGAGCAGTGTTCCTCAAAGTTTTATGTGCAGGTGAATTGCCTGGAGATCTTGTTAAAATGTGGATTTAGATTCAGTAGGCCCAAGAGTCTCCCAGGGGGTGCTTGATGCTCCTGCTTTCCCATGGACCACACTTGGACTAGCAAAAGGCCAGAGTCTTTTATTTATTTGTGTTCTGCCACTCAGTTGACAAGCGCTAGCATTGAAATTCAGTATTCTTCGTATTACAGTCCACGAAATAGGCATTGACCAATCATAAACTTCTTTATTTTCCCTTGAAGTATGGATTCTCATCGATAAGCAAAAACAAATTCATAAAGCATTGCCCCTTATCATTTGTGTTCCATGTGTATGTTGAAACTCGATTTATGTAGGGTACATTTATTATATAATCTAACTGTAACACAAAATACATTCTAGGCACAAGAAAATTATGCTTTCACCTTTTGTACACCTGTAGTTCATTTACATAAAACAATTTGGTAGAGATTTTTCTAGTAATTTCTCCCTTTTTAAACTTTTTTTTTGAGTAAATTTATATAACATAAAATATACAATTTTAAGTATTTTAAAGTGTACAATTCTGTGGCTTTTAAGACATTCACAATGTTATGCAACTATCACTATTATCTAATTCTAGAATAGTTTTGTCATTCCAAAAAGAATTTCTGTACTCACTAAGCCATCACTCCCTGTTCCCTCTTCCCCTAGCCTCTGGAAAACATGCATATTATTTTGTTTTTGTGGATGTGTCTATTTTGGGCATTTTATAAATATGAGACCACACAATGTGTTGCCTTTCGTATCGGATTTCTTTATCACTTAAGAAATTTTCGAGATTGATACACATTTTGGCATGTATCATTACTTCATTTTTGTGGTTGAATAATATTCCATTTTATCAATAACTGTATTTTGTTTATTCCTTAATCAGTTGGTAAACATTTGGGTTCTTTTGTTTGTCAACTATAATGAATAATGTTGCTAGAATAGTTGTGTGCAAGTTTTTGTTTGTTTGTTTGTTTCGTGTGCAAGTTTTTATGGGGACATATATTTTTATTTATCTTGGGTATATACCTAGAAGTAAAATTTCTGGGTCATATTGTAGTTCTATGTTTA